GGTGACCACGTTCGACGATTGGCTCACACTGAAATCTTCAGCAAACGCGTTCACCGTTGAGAGAGAGTTGCTGTGAAATAAACTTACACTAGGCCCTATGATCGACCTCCCTAATCCATCTGAATAAAGAATGTCCATTTCTTGTCGGTGCCTTCTTTTCTTATCTGCGTTTACCATTTAGTTTCTTCTCAATGTATCCTGTACAAACTGCCCTTTTTTTTTTCCGTGCGGAAATCCCCTCGGATACCACCTGTCGGTGGCATGTCGGACTCGAACCGACTAAAACCGCACGCCGTCACGGGTACTAATAGCCGGGGAACCAGGTATACCCTAGAAAGGAAGTCCCTGGTGCCCCGACATACCTCGGGTCATCTACAGACGAGTAGACAACCTCCCCCGTGTGGGAACCCCATGTTCCCTGTGCTCCCTGGAAGCGAGCGCGCTTCGCAACGCGCTCGCCGCCACCCCGGCCTGCTTCTGCTAGGGTGACAGATGGCCTCACCTGTCACCCCCAGGCCTGCGCTTATGGAGGACGGAGGTCGTTCTGCGACCTCCGGCGCCTGATTCGCCTGCGGTACCTGGCCCGTTCCCGGGCCTGGCGGGCCGGGAGAGTCCTAAACCTCTTCCGGTCCCGCTCCGCCATCTCCTTCGCGAGCATAACTTGCTCGCAGAAGGAGACGGCAGAGTTCCACGCACTCTCGCTCCGCACGATAGCCGCAATCAGGCTGTACAAACTGCCCTAAGCTTACCAACTGGTGCCTTAGTGAGACCAACTTACACTTAGCAAACACTCACACTTTGCAAAATAAAAATTTATTAAAAAATACTTGGCCCCGCATTCTACTTAACTCTGATAATACTTCTAATACTCTGAAAGGCATGAATGATAAAATGGGTGTTGAACTTCTGTCGCTAGCTGCCGGTCTAATAGCGTAATCATAATCACAAGTCGCTGTGACAGTTAAGTTTTTTAGTTTTAGTAAGTTGATCACATGGAGGTAGGTGTGATTATGTGATTAACTCATATGATTTATCCTAGGTGATTTTATTAAATCCCTACAGTCGTGAATAGTTATGTAACATAAAGATGTAAACAAAAGATCGTGTGCAAAGAGACCTTGAGCCATATGTCTCGGTATCAGATTTAACAGTTTATGCACATGAATGGACTACTGTATTCTGTACACGTGTGTAAAACATTTAATAATTGCATACACGTGTCTAGAAACTTGGTTTTTTAATCTTAAGGAACCCTATATTATGACATGCATCACTTTTAGATATCTTTACAGATCTTTTCACACATCAAGAGGGTGAGAAGGGGAGGGGGGAGAAGGGGAGGGGGGAGAAGTTTGTATGGGAAATCAATAATCGCTGAACCAATTTAGATGAAATGGATATAACGTAGTCATAATAGTTTGAGACCCGGGAAAGGACATAGGATAGTTTTTATCCCAGAAATCATCCATTAGGGGGTGAAAAGGGGGCTTTAAGTTTGTATGGGAAATCAATAAACCTTAACCGATTTCAATGAAATTTGGCATAGAGAGACCTTGATTCTTGAAGTAAGACATAGGCTTTTTACCGCGATAACTAATTTTTATTTTTGTTTTCAATAACAATAATCGAATAATCGAATTTTTGCATTTGTGGCGGTACTTAAAGAACTTAGTAAAGAAATCAGCGGATTTGAATTGTAGTATGTAGTAGTATTTTCGGAAAACTTGTAGTATGTATACAATATGCATATGCATGAATTATGTACATGTAGTATTTATAATATTTTAATTTATTTACGGAGTACTAAAATTTATGTATAAAAAATAAATATATTATATAGGTTAATACCTCATTTATTGCTCGAACCTACCACATGTTTAATTTTTTTTTTTATGGAATTTATTTGCTCCCCGCAAGCGAGTTCATCTAAAGGTTGCCTGGCAGGAATTGCTCTAATAGCGATAAGGCCTGTATATGATATGACTGCACATATGGCGTAGTAGTTAAGCGGTTACTACGCCAAGTGTTGTGGGGCCGATCCCCACATAGGACGACACTTTGTGTAATCCACACATTGTTGTTCTGAGTCTGGGTGTTCTTTGTGTCCGTTTCATGTATGTTTGTAAAGTCCCCCGCAACACAGGATATCCTCCTAATTCGGTGTCTTTTTTTTAAAGAAAAAGAAAAAAAAAAGAAAAAAGAAAGGTCGCCTCATAGCTTAATGGTTACTAATTGTAGTGGAGAGCGCTCATTTTCATAGCTAAAAAGCTTTAAAAATGAATTACGAACAACTATGTAAGCACATCTTGATAAACTTGAGCGTCTCCAAAAATTTTGCATAACATTTATATTTGGACTTTGCAAATATGATCATGTTCCCACTACCGTAAAAAGCTCAGGTGGCTTCCGATCCGCCTTCGCCGGAATACTCATATCCTTACGCTTCTGTATAATATTCTGTCAATCCATTAACTAATATTTACCTAAAAGAACGCTTTAAGTGCTTTCATGACACACATATGAAATGTCTGAGGTCCTCTGAAAGCCTGAGATTGGAAATACCAAGGCATTCTACCAATTTCTACACAAAATCATTTTCCGTAGAAGCTGTACGTTTATGGAATGCCTTGCCGGTTACTATCAGACGTGCGCAATGCGTAACCACCTTCAAGATTATGCATACAGCATTATCTGTATCTAATAGTTGGAAATTAGCGTATGTATATATTAACGTACATATGTAAGTATGTATAGTATTTATGTATAAATATAGATTAGTAGGATTTATGTATAATAAATATTTTATAGGTTAAGACCTTCTTTATTTGTTTAATTTCTTTATACCTATCACCAGTTCAAAATGAATCCATCCAAAGGTTGCCTGGAAGAAATTGCACTAAGCGATAAGGCCGCCCTTTGTACATTACATCTGTTGTTAATTACTTTTTAATGTCGGTAAAACCCTGGTGTACAAATAAAGTATTTGTCTATCTATCTATGTTACAGGAGCGACTAACAAATTTGTCAAATGTGTGCATAGAAAGTGATATTTTAAAAACATGGATTTTCAACCTAATAGAAGATTTTGCATAACCGAAATCCCTAAAGAAATCACGGTCAAAATTGTAACCAATGTTATTAATACCGTGTGATTTTGAGCTGAAAAATATGTCATTGATTTTGTTTTACTGTCCAACAAGACCCCAAAATCTTGTGTGCCCAGGGCCTCCAGCATGGCCTAACACGGCCTTCATAACAATATATTATTTCGGACATCTGACACACAACGCCATCTAGTTTCAAACTAAGCAGAGGTTATACTATGGAAGCTAGATTTACTGATAGAATTATTATAATTAATTAGATAGGTATTTACGAGACAAAAGGAGAACTTTTATACTTTTTTTTCGTAAATACTGACATATTTTAGATAGACAACATCCAAACTTTCAATCTAATACTCGCAGATCATGCAAACATTTGGTCCAACCCGGGAATCGAACTTGAGATCTTAGCACAGCAGTCGCATACGCTACCACTGCACCACCGAGGCAGAATATTATATTACATATAACGAACAAACTTCAATGTTATTAAAGTTTGTACAGCGCCTACTAAAAGAGTACGAGAAACAAGTGACACTGTTGACAGATTAAGAATATTGCTAAGTCGATTAACTCAGGCGTTTGTGCCAACAATGTGAAGGTGACAAGGTATGTAAAAATAACAACATTAATAATTTCTTAGAAAGACCATTTAAAGCGGTATGTTTTTCGTCACTTGTGCTGTTATAAATAATTATCAGTGTGATGACGGATTAAGAATACGCAGTGTCATCACCCCTAATTATCCCGTGGGTGTCGTAAGAGCCGACTAAGGGAGTAAACTACGCAGGAGAACAGCATTGCAAAGAGAACTTGAAACAAACCCTATATCAACCCGCCTGGCCAGCGTGGTATAGTAGGCCAAAACCTCCTTTCTAATTAGAGACATATGTTCAACGGCGGACTATTAAAGGCTGTTGATGATGATGGCAATATACTCTTACCAGACAGTGCAGTTGAGATAAGAGTCTATAGCAACTGCTACAAGAATGTAGCTAACTTCGGCTTTTAGCCGTAACTTTCCCATAAAAAAATAATATTAATGATCTCTTATGACCATAGAATAGATCCACAGTACAAACTATACTAAGTATCGTATAAAAACCGTTAAAGCAAAATAATTCTGATATTATTTAAACCCAGTAAGATTTATGTGCAAGCATCTTTTAAACGAACTAAACAGGAACGTGAAAATTGTCGTTACTAAATGTTAATATGTAGAAGCAGTGCACAAAGCTAAAACGGATTTTAAAACGGCTACATGGCAAACAGCTATAGAGGCTGTGCTGGTTATACCGGGTATTGGTTTAAAATGGTCGCAGTTCGACCACCAGGGGATCTCTAGGTACTATTTTTTATGGCATAGGAGGGCAGACGGGTCGCCTGACGGTAGTGACTGTCGCCGCCCACGATTACCTTTAATGAAAGGGTCTCAAGTGCCTCCCCATGAATCAAGAGAAGTATCCTCACTCACTCGTTAAAAGCAACGAAAGCATTGCTTAAAACACCGGTTCCCTGTTAAGCTGTGGTATCACTCCGGTCGAGCTACTCTAATTTTGATGAAACACGGCTCTTCGACGCTTATAATATTTTAGTGATCATTTTTAATGATATTATCGGACATCTAACACACAACGCCATCTAGTTTTAAACTAAGCAGAGCTTGTAATATGAAAGCTAGATTGATTGATAGAATACTTTTATTTATTATTATTTTTGTAAATAACAACATCCAAACTCGGCAACAAATGTTTGCAATTCATACAAACATTTGGTCCGACCCGGGAATCGAACCCTAGACCTCAACACAGCAGTCGCATACGCTACCACTGCACCACCGGAGCAGTCAGTCAGCTTATGTAATACACGTTTATATTATAAATATTAAAAAAAAACTCACAGTGGTTGCTCTTTGTCGTAATTATCAGTAGCACTTAGTGATTGCCTTCTCCATGATTTCTTCGTTTTCTTCTCCCTCATACTGATAAAAGCACAACCTTTCAATCTGCGAACAAAATCCTCGACTCCTTCTCTTTCGTTCTCCCTTCTTCTGTCAATGTTCTTCTGAATTCCATTTGTGTAAAGTATCTCTATGTCTACCTCAGAGTGTGTTCCGGGTTTGTTCTCTATTTCTGTGTCCGTATACGCTTCGTTTTCAACTCCGAAACTCGTCGCCATCTTGGAATCTAAAAGCAAATTTTTATGGTGAGTACATAAATTTATTTTTGCATGATATACTAGTCGTATGCCACAGTTTAATCCGTGTGGTGACGGATTAAGAATACAGAGTGTTACCCTCTAATCATCCGCTTAGTGTCGTAAGAGCCGACTTACGGAGCAAGCTACGCATAGCAGGACAAAAGAAGAAACACTGCAAAGAGGAAGACTGCAAAGAAAAGGAAAACTTGAAACGAACCGTATTGCGACCCATCTGGCTAGGCCAAAATCTCCTTGCTATGGAGATTCCTATGTCCAGCAGTGGACTACTAAAGGCAGTTGATGATGATGACGCCAATGCTTCTTTCGTGTTTATAAACAGTACTCGGCTACTAAGAGCCCTCGTATGTTCTGCTTTTCTTGTACAGAAGGCCATACGTGCAACCTTACAACTTAGGAGTCACAAATACGTTGCCAGACTTTGTGTACCCCTCCAGGGTGACTTTGTGTAGGAAGGGGGAGGGGCGATGTGTTTATTCTTTCAGTAACCTCACCCAATCGGTGTAAAGTAACGAAAGAATTGTAAAACATCGGTTTTCTGTGAGGCATTGGTAGCACTCCGGTCGAATTGAGCCGCCCTTTAAAGTCCGAAGCATTGCTTTTCCATGTATATTAGGTAATAGATAAATACACTACTATATGTGGAATATTGCCCAGAATATTTATTACTGACCGGCGCAACTAAGTCTGATTCTCTCAAACGAAATAATATTTCCCTATCATAACACTTTTATCATACAGTAATATAATATAGCCTATACCATTCAACCTTTTCTTTTTTACTGGCCTGTTGGTCTAGTGGTTAGTGACCCTGACTGCTTAGCCAGAGGTCGTGGCTTCGATTCCCACCCAGGACAAATAATTGTGTGATAAGCGCAATGATTTGCTCTATGTCCTGGTGTAATTTATCTATAATATGTATGTATTTAGAAATGTATATGTTTATCAGCAGTCTGGTTACCATAGTACAGGCTCTGCCTGGTTTGGAATCAGACGGCCGTGTGTGAGATGTGTTATTATTATTATTTTTCTATTATACCAAACAAATAAACTTTTCAGCTTCATATCATTAGTTTATATCATTTAATTAACTACTAAAAAGTATCGTTTTCATGTAAAATATTAAAACACTGACCACACGTAACTTATTCAGTTTAAAAATCAACAAATTATTCTCTTACTATATCAAGTATGATTCAATATCTTTGTTATTCTTACACATTGAAACAATAATGAGTCAGTTTTAAATTCAAGTAAGTTTATATTTCAAAATTATACAAGAATCAATTTAAATACAAAAGCCGTATCAAATTTTTAACAAAACATGTAAGACATAATAGGGAATATGCATGTATTTTTTTTATTTTTTTTAACGATTCTACTAGTTATTACATTACCAAAAATAAATATAACACATCCGAAATATAAACCGTTAAGCAAAAAAAATTTTTTTAACATCACTATCATTTTGGGGCAATTTGAACACGTCCATTTTGGCGCGCTTTTTTTGTGACGTCAGATTCCACTTTCACACGAATTCGATGTCAACAACGGAGTGAAGTTCACAAAGTTTGTGAAAGTTAAAAAAGTGAGTGATAAAAATTAACTTATCACCATGGAAAAGCCAATAAACCTTATTATAAATATTGTGCCGTTCCTTTGTGCCCAAATAATATCAAAACTGCACCTGACAAAGTGCAATTTTAAATATTCAGTCATTGTGTTGAGTCTTTCTACACGGGAATTTAATAATTTAACACTGAAAACGTATTAGTTATTAACTTAAAATGAAACAAATAATCACCAGAAACCAAATATTACAAATACACACAACTTGTTGACACTCTTGACAGTGTAGGTTGACGTCACGTTTTATTCAACCAATAGCGTTGCGTTTTAGAAATTTGCGAGGGAATCTTAAAAAAGCCAATTTTTGATGATTAAATTTCACTATTAAATTATAATAAATTTCAAAAATAATTGTATGGGTATCTTTTTTTAGCAACAAAAATTACAAATAAAAATAAGTTGTCCATTTCGGTGTCACGTGCATATTCCCTATTATGACGTGTGTAACAGGCCTGTTGGTCTCGTGTTAGTAACCCTTACTGCTAAGGCGAATGGGTTCGATTCCGACCTTTTTTTTCCGTGCGGAAATCCCCTCGGATACCACCTATCGGTGGCATGTCGGACTCGAACCGACTAAAACCGCACGCCGTCTCGGGGCTAATAGCCGGGGAACCAGGTATACCCTAGAAGGGTTCGATTCCCACCTAGGAAAAATAATTGTGTTATGAACACAATCGTTTGTTCTGTCTGGGTGTATATGGTACCTACTAATATGTGTGCATTTATAAATGCTGCTGCGCCTGTAATAGGAGGGATCCGGGAACTGCTGTTATTAAGACATCCGGACCCCTCCTAGCGCCTGCCCGCAATTGTGCTGGCACCACCTTCGGGTACATTCTCTATTTAGATGACGTCCGGCACACGCGGACGTCACCTCCTCACAGCTGGCCATGATGGCGGGTGGAGGGGAAAACCCGTCCCGTCCACACGCAGCCACACTCTGGGCGGCATGAGGCGCTGGTAAGCGCGCCTCCGCCGCCCGGTTCGCTGGCGGCGAATTGGGTCCGAGTGAAGGTCATCCTTCCGGGCCCAAAAGAAGAAAAAAAGAAGTCTTCACAGATGGATGCGACCGCGGTAAAACATCTGTCACTACCGGCCATGGAGCGTATGAAGGCCGGTAGCGAGAGATCTCCTCCATTGACTACAATGAGGAGTCGGCGCTGCGGCGCCCAAGCCGGGCAAGTTGCCAGCGTGTGCTGAGCCGAGTCCGCACTGCAATCACAGTGGTGACAGGTGGGACTCAATTCCCTCCTAGCGACCGAGTGCAGGTACTTCCCGAAGCAGCCGTGGCCGGAAAGAACCTGCGTCAGTCGGAAGGAAAGGGTCCCATGCTGCCGCCCTGCTCATTCGACGATAACCGGCTGGAGCGCCTCCACGGCGGCAAAGCCAGCACGTGGAACCTCCAGCTGGGACGACCAACGAGTCATCGCGGCTCGGCGAGCGGCCTCACGCTGGCCAACAGCACACCGCCACAGCTCACCTCCTTTTCGGTCACCGCCCTCAGGCGCAGCACAGCGCCGACCGCCGAACGCCCCGCTCGAAAACCAAATTGGGCGTCCGACAGATCGGAGCCCACCTCGCTAAGATGCCGGATAATGCGGGCAGAGAGAACTCTCTCAAACAATTTACCTGCCTCGTCCAGCAACACGATGGGCCTGAAGGCCGCGACGGAATCGGCAGGCCACCCCGGCTTCCTCAACAGGACCAGCTTCCCGCTCTTCCAGCACTCCAAACACCAAACTAGCGTCGAACACCTCCCTGAGGCGGTCTGCCATGTGGTTGAGGGCTAGGGCCAGCACTCGGGCCGAAATCCCGCCTGGCCCAGGGGCGGTCTTCTTGGAACGAATCCGTAGAACAGCCGCCCCTACCTCCGAATCCCGGACAGGCGGAACATCATCCCCGCTCTCCCTGTCGTTTCCGGCCAAGGAGGCCATTGACGGGGCTGTGTGCTCCGCCCGTTGCCCGAATAGGCCCTCTACCACTTCCTGCAGGAAGCTGGGCTGGAGAGTCTCCGTAAGGGGGGGGGGGGGGGGGAGCTGACGCGCGGAGCTTTTGTCGCACCGCGCGATAAGGACGACCCCAGGGGTCACGATCTAGACCCTCCAGCATCTCCTTTCTTTTCGCTTCTTTGGCGCGGCTAATGGCCAGCTTAAGAGTTTTCCCGGGCAGAGAACCTCCAATACCTTCTACCTACCTTTAGGATTACTGAGACGAGACCAAGTCATTATTATTTTAATAAAATTTGTTAAGTCTATAACAATGTTTGCCAATACGATTCGAAAATCACAGTAGGCTTTCCTCCAAATTCAGCTCCCTTGGTTGGTTCACTACCCAATATCAACAGCCTTTAATAGTGCACTGCTAGTCAGCCTCTCCTTAGAAAGGAGGTTTTGGCCCAAGTACTATAATAATGCTGGCCAGACGGGTTGGTATAACTTTGTCTTTTGTTAATAAATACTTAATCTAACACAAAAAGCATTATCAAATCTGATTGATACTTCCAGAAATAAGCGTGCTTAACAAAAAAAGAGAAAACGACTTCTGATTTATTATTATTAAAAACTGAAGTAATAGTTAATAACATTATAAAGGTGTACTGAACTACCGTGAAAGAGGGAGACTAGGTCTACTAGGCTACTGTTACTTAGACAGTATTGTTTTGTACATGTAACAAAGGTATTGAAGTGGAATAAAGTTATGATTATCTATTTCTAGCTTATAAAGCTCGAGTGGATGTTGGTTATCGCAGTAAAAAGTAGCCTGTGTTACTCGCTGATAATGTAGCTTACCATTGGTGAAAGAATTTTTGGAATCGGTTTAGTGGTTTAGGAGTAAAATCGTAGCAAATAAACAAACAAACTCACCTTCACAATTATGATATAAGTATGGATATTATGGTACCTAGTGTCACTCTTACAATTAACACGAATCTAACGACACCTTCCAAGCCAAAATCTATATAGCGGTTTAGAATACAGGACCGTTTTAAAGTATTACACATACAAACATACACTCACTAGAACTTCTTGGTGCAGCCAGATAATAAAACAGCACAGTAACTTCTATTTAAATGTAAACTAGAACAAACGCTGTTTGAACATATAATATTAGTAGATCAAACTGTACGATGACAACGAACAATACTCGTAATGTTACCTCAGCAATTTCTTACTTTAATCATAAATGACAATTACACTTTCAGTACACGATTAATGGTCATCGCGTGTGCTCCCTCACTCATTTAAATTTTTAACTCGATGTCCGTACAAAAAAATAAATACTAAAACTAATAGAATAAATTAGCAGCAATTAAAATAATAAGCAGCAGTTTT